ATATTTAAATACTAACAGAGGAATAATAATTATTTTTGATTGGCGCGGTGCTAATGGTCCGTGGTACCAACCAGTACTGACTGACTGTGCTGGGGACTACTGTCTCAGCAGACACAGTCATGAAAACCTTAGTCCACTAAATGAAAATACCAAGGAGCGAGTGTGTCGGGTTGTAATGTCCAACAGCAACGGCACAAACAAGAGCATGTGATGAAATGGTGTGCGTGATCTAACAGTCCTCCAGATTGGCTAGTACTCACTTCCATAACAATTAGTAGTGGTACTAGTACTCAATGGGTAGTTGAGTTGCCTTTGTCTTTCGAGATGAAAATCAACTGTACGTCCATCTTACTGGTGGACTGTCCAGGATGTACCCTCGAATAATGGTTCCTGTTGCCTTGCATTTGTTATGACATTTTGAGCATTTAAGATACATTAAAGCAGAGTCTAACGATCAGCAGTAAAAAAAAAATATATATTTTTGTCTGTGTTTTTACATCCCCTGCTGTGCTGCTTCATTTTCCCTTTTATGTTTTCATAATAAGAAATATTCTTCAACCTCTCAAAGAAATGAAAGTTCTGTTGAAACCGACCACATTCTCAAACACTCAGCCCATAGGCCCGTTTTTTTTTTTCTCATTACTATTTTGAAAACGTCGCTGGTGAAATGATGCAAAAGCTCCTGGTTGTCTCATGAGAGGAATTAAAAGTTGGGCTTTTATGATTAATCAGTTCTGTTTGTTTATCGCGGAGGTCTGCGGCCACATAAAGCATGTTCAAAGACCACACATTTGCGCCCCGCTCGGACTGCGCTAAGCTGCTAAGTCTGTGCTGAGCTCATGCCTCACGGCCCAGATATAAATACACACCTTTATATCTGTGTTAATGCCCCGCTACCTTTGTTCCTAGCGTCAGCTGCAGTGTAAAGAGAAACTCTAATAGGCTCAAAATGTGTGTGAATACAGAACGAATTACAAGAAATGGAAGAAACCAAAATGATTGTGAGCCTCGTGGTGACTGTCAGCGTTTTAGGCAAAATGCAGTTTATTGTGGACTGATTGAATGACAGCGGGGACAAATCACACTCTCACAGTTTGGACACAGCGGCACAAAAGCACTAATCAACACAGGGGAGTCCTGCAGGCTGACCACTCATCCATGTCTCTGCCTGTCATTACCTGTCCTGCTTCATGCAACGGCGAGTGAATAAAGCTGCCCACTGCTTCTGCAGACCCCCCCCCCCGAACCCCCCTTCCTCCTGGTGGTCACCTCCTCCCCACCGCTGAAAATTCTCCCCATATCCACTTCTAAACTTGTAGCGGATGATTAGACTTGGGTTGCATCCCAGAACACTGCTCAGCCCCAGCAGGGATTCAGCAGGGAGCATTGCAGCCAATGCATAATTTCTGGAGATGGAAGGACTCACACTGAGCTTGTGAATCACAGTCCTGCAATGGGAGACAAGTGAAAAGCTTATTGTCCAACTAAACAAGACAGTATTGAGCAGATGAGGGAAGAAGAAAAAAACCAAAAAACCAAGATTGGACCGTTTTCTTTCACGCTTCCAGGCGTAGTAACCAATTTAGTGAATTACTAATAAATTCACATTATTGATGGAGAAGAGCTCAGTATTTCTCCTCCTCGTCTCTGCTTGTCTCCAGCCTCACCTGCTCTCCTCAAGCCTCTCCTTCTCCTCCCTCCTCCTCCATAAAGGGACACTCTAGGATACACTGTAATTCTCTTCCCAAACTTATCCACATCTTAATTAAAGGTTTTATGGCCTTTCTAATTTTCAGTTTGTATTCCTCTTTGGTTATCTTTATCTAAATGTTATAATGGAAAGCAATTTTCTAAATCAGGGGAGAAAAACAGCGTTTTTTGGAACAACAGCAACAGCATAATGTTATGAAGACATTTGCGAGCCTCTCTATCTGCCAAATGAGGAGATTGCGCTCTCTTTCATCCAGTTCTAATCAACGCCGAACATGTGTGGAAACTAATGGTGTTTTTGTGTTTGCAAAACAGCGCTCGCTTCACCTCTGAGTGGGAAAGTATTCTGGATTGAACAGATTATGGACTGCACAGTGCATAACAAAGGGCAAACGTACAAAATGTGCATCTTTTATTTTTAATGGCTTATGAATATTTAACTGCCGAGGTCACTGGGCAAAATATAAAAAATAAATAAATAAATACACAGTGAAAATCAATAGTTTTTTTTTTTTTTAATGGAAACCTGGGTAAAGCGTTGAGTCCCACTGAAAATATAAACTACCCCAAACTATAAATTACCCCAAGCTTAATCTCTTGAGCGCTCGACCGGGGAGTAAAGACAGCAATTCCTGACAGCAGTGAGTGTGGGTTAGAGAGTGGGGAGGGGTCTCTGTGTGTCTCTGTGACTGAATGACTGTGTATTCATGATTTTCTCCTCTGAGCCCCTCACAGTCCACTGTATTTCCGAGGGTTCCCGTTTGCGCTGACTGACTTGATTCCTGTAGGATTTGTGTTTACTGCGTTTGCTTTTATGCAACTTTAAAGGCGTAAAGCACATTTTGTTTTGCCATGCTCATAAATTTAATTTCCAAGTCCAGGAACATGAAACAGGAATTAGAAAACAGACTTCCACAGTGAGTGGATTTTGTGCCAGCAGTTTGTTTCTTTATCCAACAGTAAAACGTTTTAACCGGGGGTGATTGTGCAGACCTATCTGCCAAGGGTTTCAGGCAGAGCAGCGGTGTTTCCATGGTGCTCCCACCGCACTCGGTGTTCTAGCAGGAGCCAGTGATTCCCCCGTCGGGATGATTTTGCATGCAGGTTGGAGAGAAAGTGGCTGCCCCCCCTAAATGCATTCCATCACAATCACCCTGAGGGTCCACGGCTCGAGTCTCATTTCAAAACATGAAGGAAAGGAGGGATAGAGGGATTCAAGGAAGTAGGAAGGATGGGGATATTATGGCGGTAGAGAGAAAGGTTTTGGGGAAAAGAATCAGGATAAGGAAAAGGAATTCTGGTAGACATATGGAAGCAGAGGATAGTGAAGAGGTGAGACTGATGTGAGAAAACGCAACAAGTCCTTAAAAATATATGTAGCGTGATACCATCGGAATTTGAATAAGAGCAGAGTTACCCCTTAACCTGGGCTGTCAGATTTTCACCCGGGGCCACTTTATCAGTTCTCCTTAAATGGCTGGTTGTAAATTGAAGACTGTATAGAGACAACTACTCCATAATGTACAAATCAGCCCATTCTGCAATTGATTATTATTTGTTCAAGTTACAAATATTGTATGTTGCTCTATGTTAAAAATATTTTTTACATATTTAATATCACATTATTTATCTTGATAAGAAATACAATTTTATAAGGCAATTGAAAGATATTTAGGCTCCCGGGGGCCACAAAAAACAATTGAAAGCTATTTAGGCTCCCGGGGCCCACAAAAAACGACTTAGCAGGCCACATTTGGTCCGCGGGCCTTTAGTTTGACACACTTGCTCTAAAGCGTCTGCTTCATTGTAGCCTAAAGGGTAAAACAAGCTCAGCTATAAGTAACACAACATCAGTATTTTCCCTGAGTGAATTCGATCTCACCTCTCCCTCCCAGTCCTAGTGAGGCCTCATACAGAGCTGTTGTTCAGTGATGTGGCCACAGTGACGGGGAGTCAGGATGCGGCGTGAGTCTACAGGCAGGCTGCTAGAGCTCAGGAGCTGGAGTCTTATCAGGGGCTTGATATTTTTTTATTTACTTTTCAGAGTCCAATCCTTTTATCTGTGATCTAACCTGCAATGACGAGATAATGCTGTGCTGACTTTTCCATAAACGCTCTTATCAGGCGTGTACAAGCTTTCCATTGCCAATGAGATGGGCACAATGATCACTTAGCATTCAGTATGCATACCTTCACCTGCGCCGCCCTGTGTTTCACACACTCTTGCCTCCAGATCCACAAACGCACACACACACACAAACACAATTGGAGTGCTGTGAACGCATGCACAAAAGCACAGAGGGGAACACACAAACACACTTTTCCACTTGTGCTGCTGTGTCTACAGGCTATTCACCGTAATAGCTTGGGCTTTCAGACCTAAGTGTGTTTTTTTTTCCACCTCTGTTCCAATCATACAATAGTGCCTGCTGAGCTGGCAAGTTAGAATATCAAACAGCAAATGAAATTTTCTGAGCGCCGTCTGCACCAACACCAACTTGTACTATGAATTTTTCATCATTTAGTGTGGTAATATTACCTCATTAGAGTAAGGCAGCCATTCGGCGGGAGCGGTCATTCTTCCTGCCGACACCGAGTCGCTGGTTGTAGTCAAACCGCTCAATTTCTCCCACAGTCTCAGAAAAATAATCCATGTTCACAAACACACTGGTAGGATTTTACTATTGATGCCTTGGTTTCACTCTAGCTATTAGACAAATGAGACATTGACAGAAGGCAACATTCTTGGTGCTTTGTTTTTGTGTATGAGCTGCTGTGATTGTGTTTATGACTGCAAACATCTTTGGAATTCCTTTATTATTTTGACTCAAGCAGCTGTTTCCCTGCACGTGGTAGAAACTTTTAGTCGTGATCAACAAACTTCTGGGCAGGTTTGCATCTACACATATGTGTACGTGTGTGTGTAGGATGTATGTAAGGGTGAGATAATTGGACATTTTTGGTCCAATACTCACACTGGCTGTCCAACACGATGGACATTAAGGTAATAAGTACATCTGTACTAGGTAGTAAATACTGTTTTTGAATATATCAACCTTGAAAATTCTCAAACAAATACCAGTGGTTCTCAAACCTCTACAGCAGCGCCACCTTTTTGTCAGTAGGAGTATTGATGAGGTATCAACACATTCACGTTTTTCTTTGCTTCAAAACTCCACTGACCTTTATTTAAAATTCTGTAATTCTAACAAAATGATTATATTTATTATACAAGTACTCCAAAGTACAGATCAGTAAAGTTAAAGCAGCCTTCCTACTTCTGATTTCAGTACAGCTGTCAGTCTTTATTCTCCACCTGGGATCACGAGCCACAGACAGAGCGTGAGGCGATGGCAGGAGCAGCAGCAGGAGCAGAGGCAGGAGCAGGAGCAGCAGCAGGAGCAGGAGCAGGAGCAGAGGCAGGAGAAGGAGTGAGTTCCGTCCTCATTGTAATATCTATACAAAATATTCCACGCAGGTCTTCAAAGCCTTAATCATTCTATTTTAGTAGTTTCATTACTCCAGCCGTATGCTCACTTACACACAACAGCTGTTGGGTCTTTTTGTGGGTTGAACCCTGTTTGCTGGTGGAGTCAGAAGAAAACCCCACTCTCACCTGTGTCTGTTTGTTTGTGAGATGCAAATACCACGGGTTGGGACTCTGCAAACCACACGACATACAGCAGGTGTTCAGCACATGTGGCGAGGCTGGGACACAATGTTATTTATTATGATGTTTGCCTCGAAGAATACTAGAATACTACGTGTGTCATTACTCCCACAGTATCTGCCCTGAACGGGGGTTTTCCACATTATTTAAACCACATTTTTTCAGATGTATGACCTGTTTTTGTTGGTCACAGCTCAGTCGGTTTGTGAGGAAAGGACCGATTCACACGAATACCAAAGTGATTAGAGGTAAAATCATTTTTGGATTAACATATTTTATGTCACACCAGCCAGAAAATGCAAAATGAAGAAGTAAAAAACATACTGTATATAAGACCCAAACATTTATGTCTATTGACCATTAAAAACCTGTGAAAGACAAATAATCGACCCCTCCCTCTCCCTCCCCCCTCCACACACATATTTATAGAAGAACTTCTTTGAAATGGCTTTAAGTCCTGGTACTTTGCTATTATTATAAATGCATGAAGAAACTCATTAGTCGGAGAAAAATAAGTCTTCACAAAAAAGTCCCACTGTGGCTGTGGTGCAGCATTGATCCATCAAACCACCAAACCATTAGCAAGCCTGACTTATTTAAAGCCCTTTTAGCTAAAGAACAAGCTTTCTTTAGATGTAAATTTAGAGTGTTGGCTTCAGCTGGACACTTTAAGCCGTCCTGCTCAGAACTCAGAAAATATACTGTATGGATATAAAAATAGACAGAGAGAGAGATGAAGATAAAGCTGGTCTTAATCTACATTGAACCCATGTTACTGGGATGCAAAAGGATCAGAAAAGATCAGTGTCTGTTCAGTGATAGACAAAAAAAATCCTACAGTATCGAGTACAGAGTGGGGGTGGTGGTGGGGGGGGGGTTTGAAGACATGGTACTTATAATCTTTCTGCATGTTTATGTCAAATAGTAACAATTGCTGTGAACCTATAAGCCCCTTGTGTCTTATCTCAGCTGTTGTCCTGTGTCAACACAGCCGTGTGTCACGGCCGGGCCCCCAGCCTTAGGTTTGCAGTAGTACTGGTCTTATTGACGGATTCAGGTTCAGTGAAAACTGCCTCTGATGATCTGAGTCGCACGGATTGATCGTGATGACGCTCACGGCAGAACTGAAAGTCATTCTCCGACTAACCTGACTGTGGCGCTGACTCCCCTCCGTCTGTCCTTCAGTGGTTTATATCTCCATCCTGGCCGGCCCTACGGCACCACCGCAGCACGTTTCTTTGCCTCGAATCTCTTTAAGGAGACAAAAACAATTAGGATCCAATCAAAGCACATAGTGATGCAGAAAGACATTGTCTTCACCAGATCGGATTCCAGGTGATGAGAGCATGTTTTGAAACTGTACAGCTCTCAGCAGCCTTTAACCCTTGGAAAGCTCCACTTTGCATAGATTTTGTGTTTTGAGAAGGGAAAATAAATAAAAATACCACTGTTTCCTGCATATCTGATGCTGTTTTGTAACTCACAAAAATATTATTTGACACACCACCTTCTTCACAATTAAAAAGATTGATCATTTGTGCTCTGGGACATCAATGTGCCTGGACAACGAGGCTGTAGGGTCAGTAAAAATGACCAGAAAAAGAAACATAAAAATATCTTTTTATGATTTTGGGGTTGACCAACCATGACTGTCTGTGTCTCTGCCTCTGTCAGACTTATTGCTTCAGTCCAGCTCCCCATCCCGTTCCCTGCTCCAATATGATAAGATTTTCTCGCATGTTCAAATGGGTAATCTTGTTTATTCACTGTAGCTGTTTGGATCCCAGCATCACCAGGAGAATTAAAGCTTCTAAATCTCAGCAGGAGGTCAAGCAGAAAAAAAGGGAAATAAAGTTTTTTCTCTCTCTCTCTCTCTCTCTCTTCTGTCTTTGTGTTGGTGTTCATTAGCACTGGAACAACTGATTTATTTCCTCTGCTGCTCACCTCTCACTTGTTCATCCTTCTATATGCATATCTTTTTTCTTGGCTGAGCTTCTCAATGCTGCCCCCCCCCCCCAACCCCTCCCCACACACATTTATGTACTCTGTTTGTGTGTGTGTGTGTGTGTGTGTGCAGATTTTACAGAGAAAAAAAGAACAATAAGAGAGCTGGTTTTCGCAGTACAGGCAGACAGCCTGTTTGACAACCATGTTTCAGATGCAGCTCTACTTTCTGAAATCCATGACATTGATCCAACATCTAAACAGCGAATTTTCTAAATTGCCACTAGATTATTTAATTGATTAGTTGGAAAGGCCCAGCCGTATTTGAGCCAAAATGGGCAGTAGATCTGACAGCCTGTGGGTTAAGCAGGGGGGCGTGGTCAGTCACGTGATCGTGCTGGAGCGCTGTGCCAAACATCTTCAATTTAAGAGGCTACTATTCCTCCTGCATTCCCATCAATCCTTCACATTCAGGTATAAAAGCCCAGGCCTTTAATGCGTGGTTGAGCAGACACTGAGAACTCCTCTGCTGTTCTCAAATCCTTTTTGCAGACGATCTTTTAAAGACTATTGACATGCTGTATTACAATCTGTGTAACTTTATATCCTCCCCCCCCCCCCCCCCCGCAGGACCTCATAAAGGGTCAAGTTCAGCCCACACCACAGCCCACTATTAGTCAGCCTGCTGTGAAATCAGTTGAGCTAAATCTGCGCCGCAGTTTCATCATCTTTACATGAGAGCAGTATGATAAGAATCCCATCTGTGCAGATGTAATCCTGGCTTCCAGATAGCGGTGATACGGAGTGACAATAGCACTGGCACAACACAGCTCTGACACGGCAACCTGCTTGTCACGCCCACAAAGAGAATGTGCACGTGTCCTCTCGAGGCCGACAATCTCTACATCAATGAAACGGTTCACTCACCAAATCAATTCGGCAGCGAGGAAGAAACAAACCGCACGGACGAGACATCTTAGGTGACAGAGAGCTTTTATTTGCTATCTTTCTCACATTCACTTACTAATAGATAAGACATGGAGATACCCACGGGGAATTGTTTGTGGTGACTGTGGTGACTGTGGTGTGTGTGTGTGTGTGTGAGTAGGGAGATAGAGTGGTGGGAGAGGGCTTGCAAGTTGTATGTGATTGCATCAGCCCATAGTGCCGGACGTGGATTCCTGGATTTTACTCACGTATAGCAGGGCCATTGAAAGGAAACAGGTGGCAGAGGGGGTGAGGGGGTGAGGGATGGGGGCGGGGGATGAGGGGTGGTGGGGGGTATTATAATTAATGCTGCAGATGCTGCTTTCTGCAGCGCATCTGGGCAGTGCTCTCATTTTCAGAAGTCTTCTCCAAATTCTCTCCAAATCCCTGCAGGCCTTGAGAACCCTTTCAATCCCTCTGTGACTTCTTCTAATTTTCGTTTATTTCTTGACCACCAGCTCCTGCTCATACCTCGTCTGCGTCTGATGCAGCTGAGGAAAAAAAAACTGCAACATCCAGAAAAGAATGTGCAGTAATTCCTCACAGTAGAAGTATTGTATTTCATAAATGAGTTACACTCACTATACTTAGGAGGTGTTTTATCTTTACGCAGGAGTCTGGATGTTATATATGTGTGACCGGTGTATTGATCTCTGTATTCGTTCTGTGGTTTATTTATTTTGAATCTGACGTTAGGCCTTTTCTATTTCCCCATTTTAGGTATCGACTCAGTGCTCTTAGATTTCTCCTTCCTCTTCTGCTTGGTCACGTCCAAAATATGTATTCTGTGTGGGTTGGTTTCCTGTGGATTTTATGTTTTAGTACATTCCAGTGGTGTCTGTTGTATTCAGATGATCCCTGCGTTCTTGTCTGTCCATTTTTGACGTTGATGATCTTCTGGTGCCGAGATGATGGCTTTAACCTCCTGGTCTTCCATAAAAACCCCACATGTAATGGCTGTTATTTGGTCTCCAATGGTGAGAACCTCCTGTTGTTCGTATGTTCTGGACCTCACTGTTCAAGCATGCAAGTTTTGATTATCTGTTTTAAGACAACATGAATCCAGTGGAAAGAACTTCCTTCTGTAGAAGGTTCTTGGTCGTGTTCCACCAAGTCTTTGTTGCCAAGCTCTGATGAAGGCACAAGCCAAAAGTGATTCTTCTCTCCACGTCCAGCGTGCGTTATAACAACCAGTCCTTGACTCCAAAGACTCAGGTGTCAGTGGATACTCCATTTATACTAACGTCTGGTTAACAGACCTGGTATCAGTTCATCGAAAAGTTCAAGAAACACTGGTACGTTCTTTGTTATAAGAAGTCAATTACCAAACTCCAGATTTTAGATTTGTAAATACATTGGTAAGAGGTTTACGCAGCCCGATGCTAGTGGAGACTTAAGTTGTCGCCGCTCAGACGTGAGGAAAAGCATTAGTGCGGTCACAGTGGTGTAAATCTGTTATGATTACAGTGTGTGGACTTAGAGAGAATAAACTCCTGTGTGTTTGGTGCTGTTTTATGCTGATTTCTCCTTTGGTGCTGTTTCTCTGGGGCAACATAACCAGACTGGGGCACCAACGTGCCACACACCATGCTGAGCAGCAGGTGGAATAGAGCATAAAAACTACGCAATGAGACGACAGGGGGCTCAGCTCTGATTCAGACGAGGAGAGTAAATACACCAAGATTGTACCGGATGTATTCAAGTAAATGAATAAATAAATAAATAAACCTTTTACATAAAACATAGGGTGATTTGGCCATATGTACTGTTTGAAGTAATATCCGCTCTATTCCACTTGCTGTCGTTTTGTAAAATTGCTACACACCAAGC